TTTGTGTAAATAAAATGTGTCTCTCTCCGTGTGCGCAGCAGGGGGGCCTCGTTGATGTACGTGAGAGGAACAATATCACTGTCGGCCACCTCACGTGATACTATTGAATGTGTAGCCGTTTCATGGTACGCTTCGCTGTCTATATAATATATAGTCGCAGATACAAATTATTATTAAATCTTTGAATAATGTCTTTGAGCTTTGATGATGACTGGACCCCACACTCTTCTTATACATGGTTTAATTTTATAGATTTGACATTGATACTGCATTGATTATAATTTTATTAACCTAGCCTCTAGCAAGATGTCCCTCTGTATAATAATAATTTGAAAGTCCTACTCTAGTAACCTTTAGTTAAGTTGGGAAATAACAGTTTGAATATATTCAAACGTCTAAATCTGCTAGCTAATTTGGATTTAACAGAGTAAGAGCTGGTAAAAATGATTCTTTGGCGTGCCAAAAAATATCTACATTAAAAAAAAAGGGTACATGTATAAAGAATGAAGACAAAACCACTAAATCCATAATCTAAGAAGTATATCTTAAATGATAATGATAAAAATAACTATACTTTTAATTTGTGAAAAAAAAAAATCACAAATAGGGAAGATAACACAATAAAAAAACTCATAAAACTCGATCTGGTTTCGATTTAGTCCAAGATTAGATTCAGCCTGGATTTCCGGTCGAGTTAGGACTGGATTACGAGCTAATTTTAGTTCGACTAAGGACGCGTTTGGTTGTCTTTTTAAAGGGGGAAATAGGTTGAAAGCCTGCCAAAAGTGTCGGTTTTGACAGATTTTCTTATAAAAACGCCTCTAAAGAGACGTTTTTACAAGAAAACCTGCCAAAAGTATCAGGCTTTCCCCTTCCCTCTTATGCAAATAAACAGCCCCTAAACCAAGGTTATCCCTAATGTCACTGGGATGTTAATTCCGGTCCTGTAACTAACAAAGAGCTGTTTTTTTTTCTTTTTTTCTTTTTAATTTCCTCTCACCCTGGTCCGTTCATTTTCTTTCTAGATCTTTTGTAGACGAAAACACATTTTTCGTCTGCGTACTACACGCTCCACATTTTAGCCGATAAGAATACCTAATAGCCTGGATCAATGGGCTGTCAAAACACGCCGCGGCCTGGGCCCGGCCCCGGGAGCCCGCGCCCGGCCCGGCCGGCCGTGGCCCGGAAACCCGCGGCCAAGTCCGGGCTCGCGGGCCGGCTCTTTTGTGCCCGGCCCGGCCGACCCGGAATAGTAGTTTTTTTAATTTTTTTAATTTTTATTTTATGTATTATATTATATATGTATATATAAATATATATAATATATAATATATGTATATATAATATATTTTTATATATGTATCAATATATGTATTTATTATAATATATGTATATAACATATTTCTATATATGTATAATATGTCATATGTGTGTATATATACTCTCTCTTAGTATATAAGTATATATAGTATACTCTCTATTATGTAAGTATATATATGTATAAGTATATATAAGTATACTTTCTCTTATATAAGTATATATAAGAATACTCTCTCTTATATATGTATAATGTATGCATGTATGTATATATATACTCTCTCTTAGTATATATGTATATATAAGTATACTCTCTCTTATATATGTATACTCTCTCTTATATAATATATTTCTATATATGTATAATATGTCATATGTGTATGTATATATATACTCTCTCTTAGTATATAATATATATAAGTATACTCTCTCTTATGTAAGTATATATATGTATAAGTATATATAAGTATACTTTCTCTTTATATAAGTATATATAAGAATACTCTCTCTTATATATGTATAAATGTATGCATGTATGTATATATATACCTCTCTTCTTAGCTATATATGTATATATAAGTATACTCTCTCTTATATATGTATACTCTCTCTTATATCAATATATTTGCTATATATGTATAATATGTCATATGTGTATGTATTATATACTCTCTCTTAGTATATACAGTATATATCAAGCTATCACTCTCTTCTTATGCTAAGCTCCTATACTATGTATAAGTACATATATAAGTATACTTTCTCTCTCTCCTACCTATATATATATATATACTATATATATATATACTACTATATATATAGTTTTTTACTTATCATATAATATATATTATATATAAGAATACTTCTTTTTATAATGTATAATGTATGTATGTATGTATATTATTATACTCTCTCTCTCTCAGTATATATGTATATATAAGTTATACTCTCTCTTATATATGTATACTCTCTCTTATATAAGTTATATATTACGTATCTCCACACCTCTCCCTATTATATATGCTAATAATTATATGTGTATATATATATATATTATATATATATATGTATAATATATGTGTGTATATATATATATATATATACTAATATACTCTCTCTCTTAGTATATATGTATATATAAGTATACTCTCTCTTATATATGTATACTCCCTATTATATAAGTATACTCTTTTATATATGTGTGTGTGTATACTCTCTCTCTTAGTATATAAGTATAGTATATTACAACGGTTACTTCCCCATTGGCCCAACGAGCAACGGCTACAGGGTTACTTATGCGATTCTCTCTCTCTCTTAAATTATAACTTATAAATATATACAATATATTTACATATAATATATGTATATATAATATATAGTTACATAATAATTTAGAAGTATATACTAATACATAATTATATAAAATATAATAATGTTAAACTAATTTTTAGCAATTTTTTATCAAAAAAAAAAAAAAAGAAAAGAAATTTAAAAAAACCTAGTTGGGATATACTTATCTATTGTGATGCGATGAATTCAAAAATAAATTTATACTTGTAATTTGTAAATGATTTATTAATTATTAATAAAGAATTTATTTTTATAATTTTTTATTTGTAATTTATGTCATTTTAAGTGATTAATAAAATTATTATTTTTTTATCTTTTTTATAATTTAAAATTAAATAAAATTTGAAAATTTAAAAAAAAATTAAAAAAAAATAAAAAACCCGGGCCGACCCGGATGGACAGGCCTAGCTCCATGGTCCCTTTGATGCAGCACGATGCCCTCGCCTTTGCTTGAGCCCAAAAAAAAAAAAATAAAAAAAATAAATCATCGGAAAACCATCTCTTTGTTTTGTGCGCTGTCTTTCTTTTGATCTCGGCTACCGACGAAGCGAATCTCGTACGTAATGGTATTGCGGCCTGGGCCCTCCTAAGCTATCACCTCCGATAGCTTGTTGATGGCGGCTCCTTGTTTGGTATCTGAAGACGTAAGAATTAGAGGCGGAGAGTAAAAGTTACGTAGCTTTAAGTGATGTTAGTGAATGGTTTGGGGTGTTTAGTTAGATTCTTGCGGAATGATATCGTTACGAGGTTTTGCGGTACATGGATTGCTGTGGGCCCAATTTTGGTTTACTAGCATGGTTTCGTGAATGTGCGACCATGTGGCCTTACGCTCCGAAAAGTCAAATGGTGACGCGCGGTTTGCCGTAGGCTAAGGGGACCAGACTAAAGGGGCTGTTTGCGTTCTTTTTTGCCCTAAAACATTAATCGGAAAATCCTACGGCTAATGACAATTCTGGGTAGCTAAGATCTTTCTTGTTGTATCTAAATTCATGTTCGGTTTTACTAATAAGTTACAGAATTATTTTCTGTAAAGTTAAAATGAAAGCCACGTTTGGTTTTATAACAGTCCTCTCAGTATTGGCACAAGTTGCCTTCAGGAACATGACGTGTTTGATTTAAAATAATAGTTTTTTTTATAAACTTATTCACTTCCACTTCTCAACTCATTTTATTTGATTAAGTTGTTATTTTTCTCCCTTTTTTTCGTATTTCAACTTATTTAAAGAGGCTAGGAAAAAAAAAACGAAAGCATGCTTTTAAATTTCTCGAAACTTCTTCTTATAACTTTTTATAGAAATATATGGAGAAATTTATATTTTTGGGTGTGCTTCCTTCTTCTTCTTAGCCCCCTAAGGGGAGCTAGAGTCATCAATCACGGTCGCATGAAAATCTTCATTGGCAAAGCTTTATTTTAGGTTTCTGAATTCGGGAAGCCATGGGCCTCACCGGCAGTTTGGTAAGTCGTGTGCAGAAATTCGGGGGGGGGGTGGGGGGGGGGGGGGGCATCAAGAATAGTGCGACGTTGTTTCCAGCCACAGTCATTTGGATATGAGCTTTCCTTATTTGTGCAAGCCAAAAGCCAGCTTAACAAATGCTACATATTCTAAGGGTGACACTTAGAGGGGGGGCATCAAGAAAAGTGCGACGTTGTTTCCTAGCCATCAGTCATTTGCGATATGACGACTTTCCTATTTGTAGCAAGCCCAAAAGCCATGCTAACAATGCCACATTATCGTAAGGGCTGGACAACTAGAGCGGGGCGGGTGGGGGGGGGCGCGGCGAAGAACGCCATCAAGAAAGTGCGACGTTGTTTCCAGCCACAGTCATTTGGATATGACGCTTTCCTATTTGTAGCAAGCCCAAAAGCCAGCTAACAATGCCTCGTATCTAAGGGTGACACTAGAGGCACACCTTGTGCCACACCTTGAGGCACACCCCTCTCTCAGATACAGTACAGGAGGCTTATTTGAGATGTATTTAAAAATCTCAATTGAACCCCCTGTACTGTAGCTGAGAGAGGGGTGTGCCTCAAGATGTGGCACAAGATGTGCCTCTAGTGTTTTCCCATATCTAAACCGAACTTTACGCTGGCTTTTTCCCACCTATTCCCCTACACTACTACTACAGTATAACAAGAGAGAAACATGCAGTCCATTCTCGTGAGAATGGGCTTTTGCTTCTGGTTTTGTTTTCTTAAAGTTCTGAGATTTGAAACAAATAGGTATCATTATTCTTCCAAAATAAAACAGGAAATCTTTTCAGCATGAACGGACCACCGCGGGCCACGGTTATTCAGATCACAGCTTCTACATTCAAACAATATAATCATTGAATGTAAGAAAAAGGGAAAATAATCTTAAGCTTGTGAAAGTAGTAAAAATAGGATAAAAAAATTACAAAGAATAATGTTGAAAGCAATAAATCAATAATTACAGTCCATGGTTTTTCCGTCATTTTGACCAGTAATGCTACATGCATTGAAGCAGAAGGATAAATTACTCCACTATTGAAGTAGTAGCACCTACGCATATGAGCCGAAGATCATCACCTATGAAGTGAACCATTTTCGTGTGCACCTTGACGATGGTAGAATATAATTACTGCATGAAAGATTCATATAAGACTAAGTTGTTATCAATAATCATTAGCCCAATAGTAGACTTCTTCGGGTTTCCGGCATCCTGATAGCGTTCCGTAACCTAGCCAGCCATCTTGATGACCAATAGATACATCGTGTACTCTTTTAAGCCTGAAAATATAAGGGACTCCGTGGACTGAGTCTCTGCATTGCGCCAGATTCACATAAAGAGGTTTGCCAGATGACAATGAAGAGATCACGAGAAATTGCTGGCTAGTTTCTCAAGCCGTCGAGCAAGATTCTGATTATTGCTCCTCTCGTAGATATCAATCAGGGATTTTACTGCTCCGGATACCTTCAACAATATCAAGTTCTTAGGCAAATTATCCATTGTGCCGTCATTTGGGTTCTCAATAGGTACAGTCTTGCTTGTTGAGGGAGGGCCACTGTGCTGCATAAAGGATGCTTTCTGCAACAGATAAAATAAATAAATCATCATCTTGAATGAGTTATATATTTAGAAATGCCCAGAAGAAAATAATTTAGAAATGACATTTTGATTTTTGGAGACTTTTGCTTTAGATAACATAATTTTTTTTGGGGGAAATATATGATATACTACTAGGTTTCAGAGGCCTTTTTATGAGGGTAAGCTGTCAACGACAACAACAGTAACAACAAATAGAGAAAAAGGGGAGAAGAAATTCCAAACAATATCACTTGGTTTGCTTCTCTTTGCAAAAGGAGCCGACATTTTATGACTTCAGATGACTAATTATTTTGTGTGTTTCTGCAGGCACTGCATATCTTTAGGAAGGCAGTTCATTCAAACGGTAGGTGAGATTTGAATGAATGGTTGTCTATTTACTTTCCATCAAAATCACAACTATCTGGTACTACCTTTGATACTATACGTGTAGATTTACCATGTATCAATTTGAAGAGGTGTATCTCCAGATCCAACTCCCAAAGTTTATGCTGCACCTGTCTTTTCAATGTCATTCATATGATATGTTTTGGATTGCTGACAAAGAGTAATTCATATGTTGAATGCTATGAGGAAACTCAGATGTTGGATGATTTGTTAAATGCACTTAACAAGAAAAACACGACGACAAGTGTTTTTCTGATGTGCATGAAATGCTATGAATAATTCATATGTTAGATGGTTTGTCAAATGCTATGAGGAAACTCAAGAGTAATTCATATGATATGCTCAGGCTTGTTGTCAAAGGTCAACTCATGGGTCTTAGACTGATTAAAGAGGTTTTAAATTTCAAGAAATAAAAGGCCTGAAGAGGGGAAGGAGATCTTACAATTGCATTGTGAATGGACCTTACCTTAATAAGAAAATCTTTAAGAATTTGGTCATCGTCAGATGAAGCTAAGCCAAGGACATGTGATGTGGTCAACATAACCTGTAAAAGTCCAGTTATCCATAAAAAAGTGTTAATTAATGTTAACTTTAGAAGTGCATGTTTGCATGAACTATCATAAGACTGACCTGCTGTTCAAGGCTGTCCTTGTATTTAAAACTTGATGGCGATATGGCCTGGGCTGAACTTATTGATTCAAGTACATGCACTAGACCTTGAACAATATCAATAAATGAATTTCCATAATCTGCAAAATAGAGGGGAAAATGAACAAAGTGGACACAAGAGACTGATCTAGGAATAATCAATTATTTATGAATTGAGGTGACAATGCATGAGTCCAGATAGCATGCACAAACAGATAAAATGTCTGGAATTATTAGATAAGAAGAGGGAAAACCAAATTAAAATTAAAGAAAATACATTTTCAAAATTTTCCTTTTAACTATCCTTTCTTTTGACTCAAAATTTTATTTTCTTTTTCCAGAGAAAGGTCTTTTCAATAAACTGAATAAATAAGCCACACACCAACTCACATTTTACCATTTCTTAAGACATTACCCAAAAGTTCATCAATCATCCAAGAGAATATCCACATTTTATCAATTGTCTATTACTTTGACACTTCTAAATTTGATTTTTGTTTTAAATTTTTAACAACCCAAAACCAACAAACTAATACTTCCGATTTGAAACCACTGAAACAGTCAAGACTCCTGATAAGGATTCCAAGAAAAGGGATTTAAAAGAGATTTCAGACGTTGCTGTGAACTGCAACTGATACGTATATTTCAAAAGTATAGACTCCATAGCATTTAAAAAATCATCCTAAATTTCATAGCAATACCACAACTACAGTAGCAGTCTTTAACATTAGGATTGTATTGAGAGTATCAGGTAAAGATCCATAGCATTTAAAAAATCATTCTAAATTTCATAGCAACACCACAACTACAGTAGCAGTCTTTAACATTAGGATTGTATTGAGAGTATCAGGTAAAGATCCATTCATAGTTACAGGTGATCAGGCGGAGAGAACCATTACGAACCAAGTCTTGATGCTGGCACGGCCAACGCAACAGCAGCATGTATGCGGATTTTATAATTAGCGGCATCACGAAGTAGCAACAGAAGAATGCTGTAAACTGAAGGTGTCCTGAAAAGGGAAGAAACAATGATCTGAACCAAATATTTGAGATTGTGAATGTGCAGAATGGGGAGATATAGAAGTGATTGAATTGAAATTCATTGATGTATGCGACAAATGTGAAAAATGATGAAAATTTCCATTCAATCTCTAAAATCTACTTCCAGCATCGTGAGGAATATCCAATCAACAACATACTGGAGATGACTGGGTGGAACGAATTATTTGAAAAAGAATAAACTAGACAAAAAAATGTAGTTTAAGTATTGTGCATGGACTATGGAGTATGGTGATGTAGCAAAACAAACAGCAACTGTTACTCACAAAGATACACGCTGTTTTCATAGGATTTCTATGTAAAGGTTGCTCCCACAGGAACATACTACACGAAACACAAATTCTGTTTCCAAAATAGACTACTTCAGAAGTAGACTTATAGTGAATTACTATCCTATCTGAACTACCAAGGACTGCAACCATTTAGAGGAATAAGCATCTCCAGGTAAGAAAGCTTCCCGCAAAGAACCACAATCTTTTTGAATTATTCCAAGCAATATGAAGGATACATTTAGAGGAAAGTCATAAAAAAAGGGACAGTTGGATCAGTAAACTCATTACTAATTCGAATATAAACATATTGATCAAACACATCAACAATCAAAATTGAAAAGGCTCCAAGTTTTGGCTAAATTCATATCCAATAGTCAACACGAGTGTCAATAGTCAACATGAATGATCGGAGTTTATATTGAACGATATTTAGTGGATACTTGTTAAATACTCGTTTTATAATATATTCCAGAAGTATATTGAATAGTAGATGTTTTTAACATGTATCAGTAACGTTCTTTTAGTATAAAAGCTACTACAATTTCACTATTATCTGCTCTCTCTTTCTTCTTTCAGTATACTATACACTTTGTCATTGATCATCCATAATGAATAATTCTGCTCTATGATGCCTAGATACGGGTACGGGTACGGGTACCGGTACGGGTACGGGACACGACAAATTTGTAAAAAGTAGGGTACGGAGACACGGCTGTATATATATAAAATAATTCACTTTATGTAGAGAAAAGTTGAGAAAAGTTTCCTCGAGTTCTTAAAAGTTCATATTGAGTTTGTGCAAATATTCAAAGGTCGATGTAAATATACAGGTTTTAGGGATGCATATGTAAAAAAGCCCTTCACTTTTATATAGAGATATCACCTCACACGTCAAGCCTTATCTATTAGACCATCAGCTAGATATTTTTGATGGCAGGCCCGTAATTACTTCCTTCCCAAGGCCCAATTTTCAAACCCAGCTGTCATCGTGAATCGCGTCGAACTCTCATTTTTAATTCCCAATCCCCCTCATTTACGCCTCCTCTCTCTTCGAGCTCCCCTCCAATGGCGGAAACAGCGAGCAGAAGAACCAGAAGAGAGAGAGAGGAGAAGCAGGAGACGAGTCGGAGCCGAGGAAGAAGAAGCGGAAGAGGGGAGGGAGAGCGGGGAAAGAGCCGATGATGATCGAATCCAAGGATCCCCTGGAGGTTCTTGGATCGGATCTCGTGACACGATTGGTGGTTGTTTCTCGCGGGTGGCATGAGATCGCCTCCTCCGATCGCCTTAGGCCTCACAAGGTGCGTGAATTTGATTCATCGAATTCCTTTAAAGCTGCAATTGACCCGACGCCGTGTCCCTGCCGTTTGGGTGCGGATCCGCACCCAAAACGTACCCGACACGGGTACGGCACCAATTTAGCCGTGTCGGGGTATCATAGATTCTGCTTGACTCCAAACATCACCAACATAAACTAGATGAACCTGAGATAAATCACCTCAGTAGATGTACCGGGCCTAATGGGCAAAAGAAATAATCTAAGATACAGCCAGATCGTGAGATGGCATGACACGGAAATTCTCAGTAAAACTCATTATGTTTCTTTTGTTGTGAAATGAAAGAATAGAGAACAAATGCCTGATGATATTTTCTACTCATAAAATTATATAACCAAAAACGCATACATAGTTAAAAAAACAAATAATTTATTCTTCTAACACCCTGGGTGCTGAAATCAAAGTAAAAAGATTTCTCCATACCAAGGCATATTATGCAGCTTTATTGCATCATTCATGAATAAATTGCTTAATGCATGACAAACATTCCATTGAACCTGAAAAAAGTCATCAGGAAACAATAAGCGGAAAAATACCATCGTGGATTTCTGACCATGGTTCACATAAAATCTTAGCTAGAAATTCCATGAACAGTTACTCTTTGTCAAACGCTTCAGAAAATTTACGATCTATAGAAATTGTGGGGTCAATATAAATTGACAGATTTATGTACCTTCACATTACCCGTTGTCACACATGAAACAAAGGCCTGTATGATTCTCTCGAGCCAACTGGACTCCACACATAAGGTAGATTTTGAGATGGTGCTTTTATATGTAGAAGGACCACTTGTTTTACTGGCATTGATCTGGGAAAACTCAGTACCCTTAGCAGAATCATGAGAATCCAAACAGCCACTTAACCCGTTGCTCGAAGTAGAATAACAAGTGAATTTGATAAATCTCGAAAGGTTCCCGAGAGCCCTCACAGCATTTGCTTTTATCTGATCATAGTAGATTTACAGATAAAATTTATTCACAAGCGGGGCAAAAAAAAAAAAAAAAGGAGAGAGAGATAGAGGAAAGAAAGGGGAAAAAAGAATAGTATAATGCAATATGTGATACTTGAATTGTCTAAGCACTAACCAGATGAATATATTAAACACGGTACAGTAAGAGATAGGAAACTGCTGATTGAGGTATAGTAAAAGATAAATTATTTTGTACAAATCAATACTACTAAAATTCTTTTATGATGACATAAGGCCATTATTTCAACTACATTAGCAACCATCAATTTCTTATAAAGCTTCATCCCAAGTTCATTTTGGCCTACCACTCATCCTACCAGCAGCCTTCATCGGGTTTTACCTTGCAGACTTCTTCTTCTTCTTTTTTTTTTTTTTGACATCCATGGTTTTTTATAGGGATTTTCACTAGTTCAAACATCAGAAGTATAAGAAGTCACAGAATAATGAGAAAGGAGGGTTAATTGTGGAGAACGAAGATCTTTCAATTCCCAAATTAACAATATGATAGAAATGAGGAGTAACAAGATTAAGGCACTTAATATTATGAAACCATTTTTAAAAGCAAGGAGTAAGTGGAAAGCAGCTGAAGGCTTTGTCGCTAACTTAGATAAGAGTATCACACATGGAAAAGAATAGAGCGGAACACAAAAAGCTAAGGGATCAATAAAAAAATACAAATGTTGCATTATGTTACCAAAATAGTGCTAAATTGGATTGTAGCCAATATCAACCACAGAGTAACATGAATTTGCAATCAACATATTGAGATTCCGCGTGCATAAAAGTGATAGCCTGAGGAGACTTTAGATTCTTAGAATGAGTTCAGTTCTTATCTGTATTAGTAGTTACATGAAAATTTCAATAGTATGGCTAAGGCAGATAGAATTTTGAGTGAAATATAAAAAAATGCAAGCAAAAGATGTCCAAGAATAGGCATTAGCCCGATCCATAACCGAGGTGAATAGTCGGACAATCTTTTTCAGCAATTCTTAAGATTGCCTAGCCAGTCAAAACCTCAATCTTAGCAACTAGTTCAACGTGCTTTGTCCTATACTCCTATTTCCTAGTCATCTCAAGGTGTTATCAATCAAACTTAGGGAAATAAAAAAAATTGATAATTCTTGCAAGGAAAAGGGAATACGCTCGTTCAATCAAATAAAACTGAAAAAAGAAAACCACCATAGTGATCAGAAATTGAAGCCTCTTAAACAAAGCATTAAACTAATAGATATTAATTACCCCACCTTGTCACCATCCTTTATCAACCATAGAGCAGTCTCGAACAAAAGAGAAATGGACTTGGCATCACATACATCCCCTGCGAATGAGAAATTCAAACAAAAAAATTACTAATTTGGATCATAAATGCTGTAAAATATGAGGGGAAAATGTTCTGATATACCTTCAGATCTTTCCAGCCGTAAATCGGTTGCTTGACTGCGAAGAGAATCACATATATTAGCCAAAGCCCAACAAGCAGTTATTCGCACCTGAAAGAAATTTAGAAATTGATTTTTGAACCATATTAAAGAAGTTTAAGCCAACTAAGGAGAGAAAAAGAGTAAGAGAGCAACGTATATACTGCAACTGAAGAATCATGGCTGTTATATTGCACTGCATGAATAAACTCTTTAAGCACCCTTGCACTGTGAAAAAGCAAAATTTTCCAACAGTTAACATCTTGATAGAAATATGCAGGTGCAGTTGGCTGCATAAAATTTATAAATATAAATCAAATTACTACCGGAGAAGAATTTCTGAGAAACATGCAATAACACCAATGGCTCGACAAGCAGCTGATCTAACTGATGAGACACCATCATTCAGTGCTACATTTACCTACATGAATATGTAGTGGTTACTCATATGAACTATAAAAGATTCTACATTATGAATAAAAAACGACAGCATAATTAACGACTGAGGCTCCTGCCACTGATCTTAAAGGGACATCAGATGCATGCAGCCTTAAGGCCCATTACAGAAAGCAGAACCTGTGACTCAGAAATGTGAGCTCAGGATACAATGGAGCAACTTTAGCATCGCCCCACGGGCTGTGCAATTGTTAATATATAAATAGTAAACACAATAGTAATCACAAGCAATTAGAGTCACGTAAACATACAGTACAAGATAACACGAGGTCTTGTTCGTCCTGACTCAGGGAAAAGAAAACTGCTGAAGTCATTCCGGCAAAACAAGTGACCACAGCTGCCCTCACCTGGAAGGAACAATCATATAAACTCAGAACACAGGAAGAGGAAACTCACTACATGCAGATCCTCCTCGAACCACATAATATATATCCAACATACGTGCATTAAACTTGTTTAAGAGAATTACAACTCACTCATGTATAATATTGCATAAGATAATGATTGAACAAAGTGTTAAATAAAGACCACATGTAAGCACCTAACCAGAGACATAAAACTGGGAACCTGTTAGTGGCAATGATTAACAAATGATAATGCATGTGCTTACACACACACACACACACACAGACCCTGCCTGCACGCCTGCATGCACCCACACAAGCATGCAAACATGCATGCACAAACACACATGCACCCACACAAGCACACAAACACGCATGCACAAACACAAACACACTATGACTATGAGGTGACAAATCTTTTTCTACTAAGGCACCAAGAAATAAATTAGTGGTTGAGGCCCACCTTAGTGGACACATCGAAGCTTGTGGACTTCACCACTCCCATCTCTTGATAGTTCATCGTTAAGTGAGTTGCCAACTTATACTCAATATATACAGGGACAATAATCTAATTTAACTCTCTAACCGTGCAAAGAGCAGTGTAACTAATCGATTGCATATGAACAAGGGACAAATTGATAAATAGAAAGATTTGGAAGATTACCCTTCAATTGCCAAATATGTGAGAGGTATATATAGGAAAAAACACAATCACTAAATATAAATAAAAAGGTTCTTGCATTCGACATACTCGAAGGAATTTTGAATTTGAACTCGTATTTAGAGAAGATTTAAGTTTGAAAAAAATTAAAAATTTGTAGATGAATACAAATATTAGTCACTCTATAAGATTAAATTTCTGTCATATGTACTCACAAATGCACTTAACAAGAAAAACACAAAGAAAATGATGTATTATCAGACATTGATGCTTACTTGTAACAATTTCTTTGAAAGAGTTATTTTGTTTGACATAAAATGCAGAAAAAAATTTGAGCCAAATCATGTTTGTTACTTACCATAGGAGACCTGTGTGAGAGGCCCAGAGGCAGATGTTTTTCAATGACCTCAATCCAATGCTCCCTCCCAGAGGAATAGTCTGCTAAATGGCCACTTGAAGCCTCTCCAAGTTCATATGAAGGAGCAGATGAAATCTTTTTTGGTCTGGTGCAATCAGCAATAAGTTGAGAATCTGCCAACCTAAATTCAAGGAGGTCATCTGCTCCCTTAAATCCAGAAGATGCGCGAAGACACTCATCCAAAGCCTAGATCACAAGTCAGGTTCAACTTTTTAATTAAATAGACAAGATTAAATAGACAAGGGTAAAAAACAACTAGGCTGAATAATTGAAAATGTAGAGCACAAACAAAAACAACTATTCATCTTATAAACCTTTAGCTATGGCTTCATCTGAATTGTAAGCAAGGAAACCAGGGGATGGATTTTTATAGTACAAGGACTTATACATGATCTGTTTCAATTATAATTTTACTCAAAATAAATATGCCAACCGGTGAAGCCCAAGCCAAAAAATACGCAGGCCACCTAGCGGTCATCCAGGCTGCTGCCCAGCCCACTTTTTAAGACATTGCTTACTACAACTTTCATGTTTTAGTTAATGTTTGATTCAAATATTGTTCCCATGACTGACCGTTACGTTAAACCAAATATCCTTAGGAGACATGTATTGTCAACATAACTTTGTTATTACTGTAACTGCATATAAATGTATACTGATATATAATGTCATGGACACATCGACACAGGCATGACCTGATATGACAAGCATCAAACCATGCTAAAACCTAAAAAGAAAAAAACAAGACAAACATATCATGCATGATGATTGATACATGAGTTTGGCACAACATAGTTTAATGTTAGAAGTCCATTACAGATAAATACTGATCTGTGTTGAAGAATTGCATATCAACACTACAATATTACATTGTCACACAAGTTTGCAACTTCAAACACACTGATAATAGCAGGAAAAAAAAAGAACACAAAAAACTTACGCCTCATGTTAGCAACATTGGAGCACAAGACTTGTATTCTTAAATATATAAGCAATTATTAGATAAAAAGCCGATAAATCAGGACCATGGATAAATGGGATAGGCTCATTGGTTTAGGTTATTACAATAAATGAGAAATTTAGTTATGGTAGCAAATATAAACCAATACTGTACAGATGAAGTATAACATTCTTTTATCAATACTACGGATAAATGGGATAGGCTCATTGGTTTAGGTTATTACAATAAATGAGAAATTTAGTTATGGTAGCAAATATAAACCAATACTGTACAGATGAAGCATAACATTCTTTTATCAATACTACATAGCATAAGAGCTACCTTAACAGAAGCCATAACGCATTTTTCATAAGTAGATCCTACAGTTTTTCCAGTTTCTCCTTTCCATGGCCCTGAATGAAGTTCATAGCTAGAATCATAAGAGGAAGGTAGCTTCAATGATCTATAAACTGCAGCTGAAATGTTTTCCCATACTAGGGCTACTGTGGCTGGATAGTTGTGAAATACTGCCCTCAGGACCTGCAACCAAACCAGATGCTTTAGTGGTTAAAAGCAAGCACAATCAAGGAGCATACAGATAAATTATGCATGCTTTAATCGTTATGCTGTAATACACAACACAAGTAACTGAATACCCTTATACAAACAACTGGCTTCAGGTAGACCTTCCTCTTTAGTGGTTAATCAAATTAAGCTTAAATAACAAATGAGCAATCTTCCAAATTCGCCTAGAATGGAAAGAGTCAAGATGGAGTTATGTAGAACCACATTATCTCTGAGGCATGAAACATGCCAAAGATCCTAATGGAATCATGTCCCCACTTTGGCACCTACTAATACTCAAAATTTTAACAAATATTTGAGTGACAAAGGAAGAAAAGTTGTAATTATGAACATGTTATAGACGACTGAAGCAGCACATAAATTAAATGATATCACTCCAAGTGCATATGTCTATCTAATACACCTTCAGAAATTTCAGTTTGTCAGCTTGGAACGCAGATCTTCAAAATGACTGCATATAGCAAATTGATGGACATGAAATACTTATGAATGACCATTTTCGCTACTCAGGATAAACCGTTCATTATCTGGTCTAATGTAGGGAGATGGTGATAGAATTAGAGCGAGATTGTTACAGTAAAATACTGAATTGTCATGAAGGTGATATTGGGAGTTTTCAAACTCTAGATTATTCAGTATTGTTTCCCAATTATGGGACAACAAAAGAAAATAATGAACATATTATCAATTATCCTTGCAGATGATACTCTAAACAAGCACTTCTTAGGAGGCAAAACACTGCATTCTGTAAATCTTTAACTAATTTATTGCTTATCTAAGTTACACGGTTCACCACTTATAAGTTGCATCACCAACAAGCCAACTTTATAAGATAGCTATAAGTTGTATGAATTCTGAGATGAAAGCAATTCAAGAAGAATTACCTGGAGAGCCTCAAATCTCACAGTCAGGTGCCTAGCTTCATCCAAAAATTGAATTAACTGAGCAAATATGCCTGATTCTTGTTGATTATGAAGAAGACCTAGAAAGCGAACAATTAGCATTCCTTATCATGAATACAAGTTATAAACTCACATTTACCATGCAAATACATCTTTACTTCTCTAAGTATTGGACATCATGCAAGTGCATCATATGACTAGAACATGGGCCAGTTTCAACGCGAACCACTGCATTGATGTTTTGGTCAAAATCATGCTCTCAATATGGAATTTACTCAGAAAGTACACAGTAGTCAATTTCATTCTGAAGAAGGCCTGATATAAAATGGAGATTAGTTTTCTTTTTAATTAAACACAAGCGGCAAACTCACATGAATACTGTTTTAGTTGGTTACTCATGCATATATCATACAAGGAGCGTATGGTTCAGTTGTAGATGGAAAGGCGACAGTAGATGGTTCCATACCAAACCTCACATCCCACAATGGCATGACAGTAGAATATGACTGGGGGTACTGTATGTCAAAATTGCATTTTCTAATAGCAACTAGCAAGCAGGCGATGACCTGCTTCAGGATTGGTATTTCAACCTCTCAAAAGCTTCAGTGTGAAGCCTCTCCATCTTATCCCCATAAGTGAGAATACAATAAGAGCAACACATTATATATAAGAGAAATTACATGTCGCTTCAGCTATGATTACTGCAGCATTTCTATTCATAAGAAGAATGGTGAATAGCTTGAAAAAAGGAGTAAATCCAAGTTTCAGATTTTAATTAAAATCCTTCTTTGGTAAATAAAGTGAGAGACGAGATAGCCACTTTCACCCACCATAATGGTGTCAAGTGATAGAATAAAAAAGGCATGTGGAAGGTGTCAAGAATTACATCTTAGAGTTCTATTATATTCTATTGAAACTTCATAAGGTTTCTATACTTTTACCCTTCATGATTTTCTTTTTACTTTGAGTGCAAATCCTAAAGACAACCCTAGTTCGTCTGCAATTCTACTGAACTGGAAGGAAAAGAAAAATCTACATCCCAGAACACTCAAATGCAAAGAAACCAATCTCTAAAAGGGAGCTAACTGTATACAAGCAACTAATGTGTTTTATCAGGGTTTATTTGCACATATTTATTAGAACTAACACCAGCACACTGAGAATAATGCTGATTCATCTGAAATAACATAGCAATGATCTCCTGGCTAGGAACCAAAGTTCTTTTCAGAGAAAACATTAAACATTATGTGGGTACCCAAGAGTAGCCTTTACTAATGCTGTAATTGTATGTTCTCAAAAGGCAACTAACCTCTTGACATATCTTCTTCCAGCATTTTTAAGACATATGACGATGGAGGTGATACAGAAAGTGCTGCCCCCAGGCAACTAAGAGCAGTTTCCTGTCAAATAAACTTAAGCTAGATTATTGGCATAATGAACTACTCCCAATGTAGTAAAAGAAAACTGACCAGAAGGCCATTGTCCTCGATGTTACATGCAAGGCCCTCCCTTATTCTATTGCACAAAGGTGCAATCAAAGTGTGCAATAAGTTTCCAGGCATTCGAGCATATCTGTTCATTACAAGAAACATAGCTCTCAGAACATTTCTAAACGACCGAAACAACATATGAAGGCGTGTTTTGAAAATGACAATTGATAGGAAAAAGTATCCGAAACTCAAAGATTTAAGAATATCCAAAAAAAACAAAACAAAATGATCCTAAAAAACAAGGCCACAGTTGTAAAAAAGCCTCAAAACCACACGATAGTTTGTATATGATAAAGGGAATTGTTAGTAGTAAAACCTAAAACATCAGTCAAAATGCTCCCAGCTGGAATTTCTGGAATATTGTTGGCAATCAAAAAAACACATACACATTAGTATCAGACAAAAAGGAAACTTACGGTGTAGCAGATATCAGAAGCATAAGGACTTTGAACAACATTGTCAGCAACTCAGCATGTGTTTCCTGTTGTATCAAGTATATTATACCTACAACATAGAAGTATTCAAAACAATCGTCAGAGGTTGCATAGATGAACTATTCCCTTCAGAAAAAAATGAAATCTAAAAACTGGTCCAGAAGTTTGGCAACCTCCCAAAATGGGAGCAAGTTTGATCTTGGTCCCTAGAAGAAACTTATTGGGGAAAAAGTGGGCCAGAGTTGGCTCAGTTTTTCCTAGGAGAAAAAAGTCACCTAAATCTGGTTCTTTTTTATCCACCCATCCCTTGGATTAAAATAGAATGAGCTTTAAGGAGTTTGCCAAACAAGTCCTAAATAAAGGTTATTGCCAAGCACCTGTGTGCAATTGCATTAGAATTTGACCAAGGGAGGTGGAAAGTGTGGTAAATGATCCACATTTAGTAGACCCTTTATATTCAGCTAATTGTAGAAAGGTTGATGAATGTCCATCCAACATTGAGGCTAAAGTTGAAGCAGATGCCAGCCGTATCTGTATAAAAAACAAGGTAAAAGAATTGTAGAAAAAGAGCTGCATAAAAAGATGGGTAAAACATGACCCAGAACAAACTAAACAAGGAGAAAAGGCCACTATATTATAGCATACAGATCTCAGGGGAATTCAAAGTTAATGGCTAACATGAACGAGGGCCAACATAAACAGGAAAAATGGCAAACACGGAACCAATGAATGAGATACATGTAAAGGCCAATTGCAATGACAGAATTTGCAGTGAACAAGTACCATGCAATATACTCAGCAATAAATTAAGGCTGGAAAGGAGAAAATTGATTCAATGTCCAGTAAATGGAGAATTTTACAAGATAAAAAATAAAGACCACCATACTAGAGATATACAATAAAGATACAGAGTCAAAAGAATAAACAAAATACTTATGGTGAAAATTACAGAAGGAAATTAACACAAAATTAATTACCTTCATCACAGGATCAAAAAGCAAACAAGTCATAAGAGTTGCTTGATATTTTCTGTTGCACAAACATATTCTTTAGCATCATAGAATGAAAGAACAAAAACAGCAAGGGGGAAGATCAATAGGTGGAAGCAGGAACCTTGGCTGCAATACATCATTCTCAGGCAAAAGAAGTGTCCAGAGAGAGGTGAGTGACTTTGGTTCAGCACGACAGAGATCCTTTCAAGTCAGTAAGAAAAGAGAAGTCAATGACAGATATTTAAACTATCTCATCAATAGTTTAATGAAATATGAAGCTGCAGAAGTTCCATGCAAATTGTGACGAGCTAGTGAGGCATACATATTATTAAGACAGTAAATATATAGCCAAAAAACACTTCAAATTACATATTCTAAGAGAAGTACAAGGAATGTAAAAGAGAAATAGGAGCTAGCTAGCATAAGACTCAGACAGGAAGGAATGAGGAGAAGGAAGAATAGGACTCCAATTTGAAATATTGAGAACTATAATGCCTCTGACACTTTAGGGATCTACTGGAGATTCTAAAAATCAGAAGGCTTGGCAACTATTTACAGGCAAGTACAAACTTTTAAATGACTACTAAATTGTCACCTATTTCAATTTACAGAAGGAAAAAACACTAAATTTGTAATCAAGGAGAAAAAAACCTAAACATATCCTTGATAATTTTTTAAAGGCAACTATCAACTCGCTTGTTTTGGTCCTCCAAGTAAGCAGGAAACAAGTTCTATTTTCCATTTTTTAATAATACAAATAACGGTAACAACAAAGATAGAAACAACAAAATAGTCTTTATCCAAATGCTTGATGTGGCATGAACCCTTTTTCTTTCTTCAGTTCCATTAAGAGAGCCATTCCTGTGATTAAATCAACAACTGTTAGATTCTCTTTATTGCCTCACTTCGTGATCTAACTTGCATTGTTTCACTACATCATCAACAATTATATTACTCTTAAATTCATTAAGCTTCATTGGAGAATGTACCGTAAACATGCCCTTTTACAACTTGCAAAGTTATATTTCAAATAAGAATGGTTTCCACCAAACAAAAAAGGATTACAGCGACAATCTAACTTAGTTGACAGTACTTAAGTCATAACTGAACAAGCTGTGCTTCCGTGTGTGTGGAAATAGATTCAGAATTTGATGAAAGATAAAATAAAACTTCAAATAAAAGATTTAAGAAAGGGGTAACGTGACATTTTCTTTATGCTCTTCAAAGACTGAACAAAAAAATTCTCTAAAATGACACATAGCCCTTGCAGAAGAGAAGACTATGGTTTCTCAGGAAGCAACACTTTACAACAAAGATCATGACACCTGCATTACATTGAAAAGATAAAACCCAGTTCATAATTGCCATTAATATCCCCGAAATGCATAGTTACAAAAACTAAACCATGTAACTAAAATGACTTGTCTTTAGAAAAAAGTTATTCAAAGACATTTCTAGATAGCTTAAATGAAATATTATACTGGAAACTGCTTCTTTTTCCCCTTCACTTGGATTCACCATAAGCACAGATGCAGTAAAAGCATCTAAACATAATTGCAGTTCACTCGATGCCGCACCATATTTTTTATATTTTATACTAACTAGTATAAGGTAAAGTAAAAAAAATTACTCCATCGTTTTAAATGCTCATAGGTCATTAATCCTGTATTTAATTGCACATACTTTTTACTTTATTATTACAGCATAATGCTTTCAGGCTAAGCACATATACTAAGCATGGAAAGTTAACAACAATCGGGGGAGGAATGTATAGGAAGTTACTTGTACGCAAACAATGGCAGCCACCCTAGCTTTTGAACTCCTAAACCGATCTCCATTTGTAGCATAACTATCATTATCACTGAGATCTGAATCTGATGAAGATAAAACATATTGTGAACGATCACAATCTGAAGAACTCTGAGCATCTGAATGATGCCTGTTAGTCCTCTCTCTCCTTCGAAGATGTGGAGGCACGTAACTTCCGCCTTTCCTGGAATCAAGTAATGGCTTCTGGTTTGGGGAATTCAAACTCTTGTCTTTTGGGTCGGCACTTACAGGTATTAAAGAAGATCGACTAGAGAGACCATATGTGAAAAACATTTGCAATGTTGCCCCAAAACCTGTAACCTTACAAATTATAACAGGAAATATCAGAACGTAAATAACATGTCCTCCATAAATCTAATCAGGTTAACAGAAACAAAGGGCATACTTGTCCTGAAAGGGAACCTTTTGGATGAGTTAGCACCAAATGTAGACAATGAAGAAGCGTAGTGTAAAACCTGCAAACATAGTTAAAAATTATTCAAGTGCATGGGCGGCAACTGTCAGAAGTTCTACAAAAATCACAATATAAATTCCAAATACCTTGACATGACATTGTCCACGATAAGCAAGTTTCTTGATGCTACGAAATCCATTACTTTTCTCAGAACCTAGTACAATTATATTAAGAAGAAGAGTAAGGAATATGAAATATACTTCCCCCATAAAAAGAGTATGCTCACCTCCACCAGAGACTGCCACAAATTCTCTGAAATAGAAGACCCAATTCTCGATAAGGCATCACCAATCATAGAGAATGCAATAGTTTGCATCTCCCATAGATTGTTGTTGTATTTGGGTTTTCGGGTCCCAGTGTTTGCGCCACTCCAGTTGTTTTCATGTGGATAGTACAAGGTAAGTAATTCAGAATTCAGGCATGAAACAACAGAGACAACTATTTCAGCTAACTCCAGGCACTCTGACAACGAGCTGTTTCTTCTGTAAGCCTTGTCGAAAAACCTGAATCATAAAAATGGAAGCTCCATGAAAAAATTTCTATATGTTAAACACCAAAAAACAGGGAATAATGTAGAAAACAGGCAACAACTTGATGAGAGCATGCATAGCTAAAATCAGAAGTATGTTACATAAAATGAGAAAAGTGTTTAGTTAATCACGCAAAAATTCCAAATTTTACGGCCATATATCACCAAAAACGAGAGTTGTATTGCTGTAATCACAGAAATAATACAAGGACTAACCTGACAATTTCTAAAATTTCAGATATAGCTTTCATTCTGTCAGCGTTCCTTGCTGTAGCATTGCACTCTAGCATCTTTCTAAGAAAGTTTAGCATGATGGTCCAAGAGGATGAGTCGACTCCCATACGAACTTTGCAACTAACCTCATGAATCTGCAGCATGTACAATAAACAATTCCAAGTATATATACATATATAAGCTTGAAGGTTCACTTGTCAAGTGGAATTAAATGTTTCTAGGAATTTGGGAGGGAAAAAACACACGGACGCAGGCGCTCGCGCACACACACACAAAAAAATTCACTTCATAATGGATTAATTCGCTTAGTAGGTCAATAATTTGTATAACAAACACATTAAGTACTCTGATAATTTGAATAAGAATCAAGCATGCATGGAACATTTCCAACTGGGTATAGGTGATTAAATCAAACTCTCCTCTACTCATTATAAAGTGAAATCAACTTTGTTTAACCAGAATTCAAGGAAGGGGAAAAAACAACAAAACGAAAAACAAAAAGGCTACCAAATGAAAAACACAAAACAACGATTGACCAGCGTCCTCGCATTCAGAAATCGCCGGAGCCAGTTCCGCCAACAGAATCACATCCGAGGTAACCTACAGGCCCCGATCCAACAACTCGTCTTCAGAAAAACGAAATTAACTTCGATTAAAAGAGTAGAGAAGCTAGGGTTAGGGTTTCCTTCACCTCGTGAGAGGGCAACTCAATGGACGCGGCGGCTAGGTCTTCAGCGGACTGAGAGAGGATGAGATCGCGAATGAGAGAGGTGGACAGCGGAGGGAGAGGGTGAGGTTAGGGTTTCGTCTCTTAGAGTAAGAAACGCCGTTCGCCATGATCGGACGCGGGAGGATGACGACGCCATCGCCGGCGAGATCGCGTCTCATGGACTCAATTGAGCTCAGAGCGGTGTGCTAATAGGTTCGCTGGCGGCCGAAAAGGTGTATCGAATTTTAGTTTTCAGCCCCTGCCCATTAGAAACACGGCCTTTTTCGTTATTGGTACCTTAAATCTTTAACGTTTTTAAATCAGTCCCTAAGATCATTTGTTTTGCTCTTTCGTCCCTTAATCCCATTAATTATTTCAAATTATAGAATAGAACGTGCAATTACAGTTACAAGTGCTTAAAATGTGTGTGATAGATAAGAAATGTTTTATAAACCAGTTCAGTTCAGAAGGTATGACGACTTTCTTCAGTTGTAGAGAATGAATGTGTAGTAGAGAAGAAGCTCAAGTTTGTTCATAAACGTTAGTGAAGGATTTTCAGCAGACCAAAACTTCGGATTCTTAGGAGACACTAAAACCTTCCCGTTGGATATTTTGTTGGAGAAAAGGTAATTTTACCTTCATGAATAGTCCTACATGGAATATTGTTATGAATAAAATTAAAGCGTGTGTAACGGCTATATATTATGGGGAACACTACGAAAATTTATGATGAATGTTACCGTATTAAATGTAGGAATTATAATGGCTTTCTTAACCCTATATATACACCCCTTATTCACTTTCGGAAGATATATAGAAACAATTATCTCTCTTTCTTCTTCTCTCCTCTGCATATTATTTTCGTTCATATGTTGGTGTTATTTTTGGGCAACCGTTCTTCGTCTGAGCTGAAGCTCTTTCTCTCGCCCGAGTACAGAGGTCGGCCACTTCAGTGGGTTTTTACACGACTGCTCCCGATCAGACCAGACTTTCTTATAATTTTATTTCGGATTAATTTTACATGATATAATTTTATTTGATATTTTTCCAACAGTATATACTATGTGCAACATGCTACATATTTTCCCATTGTCTTACTCTCTTTTGCCAATTTCATTCTCTCTAGCACGCACGAAGTTGTAAAATAATCAATTCCCAAAAAAAAAAAGAATTCACTGATGAGTCGACGACCGACGCATAATCCCACTTCTAACCTTTGCCTATATGCAAAATTCAGTATCAAGTCGGCTGAGATCCTGGCCGGCACAAAATGCTACTTCTCTTGTTGGCAAAAGGCATAAATTCTTTCGGATATTCCCTCTATCCTATTTAATTTCATTGCAAACTATATATATATATATATCCGTCGTGACCAACTAAGCAAACTAACAATCTCCATCACCTGTAGCTTTTGTGTACTTAAAAATGGACGTATTTGATGGTGAAAAACCAGCAGTCGCTAACGACGAAGAAATCGAGCGGGAAAGCGAAAACGGCAACGGCGAGAGAACCCCGTTACCAGCAGAAAACAAAGCCTTTCCGTTCCGTAGGCTTCTCGCGTACGCAGACGGCCTCGACTGGCTTCTCATGGTGTTGGGTACGTTGGGCTCGGTGGTGCACGGGATGGCTCAGCCAACTGGGTACCTCTTGCTCGGAAAAGCTCTCGACGCGTTTGGAAACAATATAGATAATGATGATAACGTAGTCAATGCTCTGTACAAGGTAACGCACGGCAAAAATTTGTGCTGGGTTTCATGTTTCTTTTGTTTGATGTCGGAGTTGTTGGCGTTCCGTTGATTGTGTAGGTTATCCCTTATGTTTGGGGTATGGCACTTGCTACGCTTCCTGCTGGATTTGTGGGTGAGTAGTAAGTCCTCATTATTAACTGTCATTTGGCAATGGATTAAAAAAAATGGGATAATTTTTTTTTTTTTATATACCAGTTGCCAATAGAGCTTTACAAAGGCTACCATTATCTAACGATTATAACTAAATCAAAATCAATCTCCCAAAACCCTGTTATTTGACGCAAAATTTTGAATCATCAAGTTTACGAAAAAGTAAAAGTTTGTTGGGGTGTAAATAGATATTCAACTTAAGCCAACTGTTGCAGAGTTGCATGAGAAAATCCCAGATAATTATGCAAGCTTATCACTTTTCAAGGGGGAAAAAATGCCTACGTTCTCATACAACATAATTGTGGCAACAATTAATTTCCTTCGATTACAGTATCAAGCTGCTTGTTCTGTTTACTCCAAGATTGCATACAATAACAAGAACACGTGAACACAGAAATCTCATGCTGGATGTACTCCAGCGAAAGGCAACTATCACGCTTGAGGCTGGCATTTCTCGAAGCAGTTCTAACCCAAGATATTGCAGCTTTTGACACAGATCTCACCACAGGAAAGATAATTACTGGAACCACAAGCCACATGAATATCATACAAGATGCAATCGGCGAGAGGGTGAGTAACTATCCTCCATTATATTACCGTCATTGGCTAACATATATAGCTCCTAAAATGAATTAATTTTGACCCCTCCCAGATGGGACATTGCATCTCAAGCCTCTCCACTTTCTTTGTGGGTATCGTAGTTGCTTTCATCTGTTGCTGGGAAGTAGGCCTTCTTGCTTTGTTTGTGGTGCCACTGATTCTTGGCATTGGAGCTACATACACTGGCAAAATGAACGCATTATCGGTGTTAAGAGTGGGATATTTATCGGAAACCACGACACTTGTAGAACAGGTGATAATTCTAGTTGAAACTCCTCAGAATATTTACTAATGCTTCATGTAATTCCATTAAGCAAAGATTAGATAAGTATGGTGTGAAACTACATTCTTCGAGTAACCAATTGAAAGGTAGAATACTTGCAAAAAGTTATAAAAACAAAAGCGTGTGAATGCAGACATTAACCCAGATCAAAACTGTCCTCTCCTTCGTTGGTGAGAGCTTAGCACTGAAGTCATTTGCTCAGTGCATGGAGAAGCAGTACACAATGAGCAAGAACGAGGCAGCAATAAAAGGACTGGGATTGGGCATGTTTCAAATGGTAACATTCTGTTCCTGGGCATTGATTGCATGGGTGGGAGCAGTTACAGTTAAAGCAAATCGATCTCAGGGAGGTGAAACCTTAGCAGCTGTCATGAGTATTCTCTTTGGAGCCATGTAAATATTCCTCAAGATTTTAAATCATTTAGCCCAAATTAACTAACTCCGAATAACTAAATATTTCTTATGTAATTGAATTTCAGATCAATCACTTACGCAGCGCCAGATTTTCAAATCTTCAACCAGGCAAGAGCAGCAGGAAATGAAGTATCTCAGGTGATAGAAAGGAAGCCGGTCATAAGCTATGAAATGAAAGGAGAGATTCTAGATAAGGTTAATGGAGACATAGAAATAAGAAATGTGTACTTCTCATATCCATCGCGTCAGGATAAGCTTATACTTCAGGGGTTCTCGCTGACTATACCAGCAGGCAAAGTGGTTGCTTTGGTTGGAAGTAGCGGGTGTGGGAAGAGCACCATAATTTCCTTAGTGCAAAGGTTCTATGATCCAACTGAAGGTTTGGTTCTAAATTCAGATCTTTGAGGCATGTATTAGGATGTTTATCAACTTGCATGTACCGAAGGGAACGCCTTTATTCCCAACTTCATTTTAAACCTAAACCTGTATTCTTACATCATGAAAAGGAATTGACACATACCATTTATTTTTTATTATATATAATAATTCTAAAGACCACAGACATTATTATAGAGAAAATTCTGTCGCCAGCGTTTTAGATAGCAATAATATCAACTAAATGGTTATGGTTTAGATTGTAAGCTTGATCTCTTTGCACCCACATCCGGAACCCAAAGCTAATGGCATTGCACTTTGGATGATGGCCATAGAAAATGCCTTGATCCATCATAAAAATAGCCTACAAGAATAGATATAGAATCACTATTAACGTACTAATTGATATTAGCAGTTATTCCATTCTGTATATTGATAATTCTAAAGCAGAAAACATAAAAAACTGTTGTAAGTTGTAACTAGATAAATTGGGGAATGTTGTGCTCTAGACGAGTTAATATAGCAATCTAAATTGGCAGGTGCTGTTCTCATTGATGGTCTCAACATCAGGGACCTTGATCTGAAATTTCTCCGAAGAAATATAGCAGCAGTTTCGCAAGAGCCGTCGCTTTTCTCAGGTACTATCAAGGATAACCTTAAGGTGGGAAACCTGGAAGCAAATGATGAAGAGATAATTCAGGCAGCATCAACAGCCAATGTCCACTCATTCATATCCCAACTTCCAAATCAATATTCCACAGAGGTAAGGTTCCAAATTTACGACTCATACGGAAATGTAATCACCGACAACTAAACATTACATGTTGAGAAATATTTTGATAAATCTTCATAGAATACTTCAAACCTAGAAAGGTTTCCACTTTATGGAAGTATATAAAACAATTGATTGATGCAATTAAATGTACCAATTAGGAGCTGTAGGACCTTAATTGATGAAACAGTGAGAACTAGAAATAGACTGAAAGAAAATGGATGAGGTAGTGAAAAGAATGTCATAGTGGTGCAGTAACTATGGAGAGTAACAGAACTGAATGAAGACGTAGGATTCACCGAGTTGGCAAGGATGAGATTTGGAACAAAGGCTTTGTTGTTGTTGTTGTTCTTGTTGCCGATGAATACAAAAAAGGCATGTATTTTGCATTATCAAGAGTACTGTTTCTGGTGTTTCTACATAAAGTAAATTTATATGGGCTGGATACAGAGCAGTGATACCTGATAGGTACCTTGATACCTTTCTAAGATGCATCCTATATCAAATTGTATCCTGATAGCCATAATATTCTTAGAATCCTCCTATACACTACGCATTGTGATTTATTCATCTATAGTCAACCATGTTTAATGAATATGGTTTCAGGTAGGTGAGAGAGGGGTACAGATTTCAGGTGGACAAAAACAGAGGATAGCCATAGCAAGAGCCATTCTTAAAGATCCTCCCATTCTTCTCCTCGATGAGGCAACCAGTGCACTAGATTCAGAATCTGAGAAGCTAGTTCAAGGTGCACTCGAGAAGGCAATGCAAGGGAGAACTGTGATTCTGATTGCGCATAGAATGTCAACAGTTGTGACTTCTGATATCATTGTTGTTGTAGAGAATGGAAAGGTGGCACAAGCAGGGAGCCATAACGAACTGCTAGAAGGCAGTAAATTCTACAGCAGTTTGTTTAGCATGCACAACATGGAGGCTGGAGAAAATGAAGATACTAGAGATATAGGAACAAGGCAAGTGCAAATACCAAGCAGTCTTGATTCTGGAACAGTTAAAATCCTTATTACTAATTTTTGACATTAAATTTTAGAAAAGTGCAAAAACATCTCAATTTGAAAAGATAAAAGAAGGATAAATGTCACTGATAAACAGGAACGAATGGATTTACTCCTGTACTAGAATAGCAAAATCTGAAGTGAGATAAAACTCTGACAGAATTCAAATAAAGATCCTAAATTGCAGAATCAGATAAAGTAGTGAAGTACAAGAAGAAAAAGGTAAGAAAACTTATGCATTAAATTAACTTCGCCATTTCTTTGAAATGGGGAAAACAGGTATGCTGGTGATACTGAGGAACATTCAGAAGACAACAACATTATTATGGAGATTTCTGAGCTCCATGAACAATCCAAGGAACTGCAGTGCCAGTTGGGTAGTCCTACAAAGAAAGAGATGCATAAAACAAAAAGAAAAGAGGTTCCATTCCTCAGAATCTGGTTTGGGTTGAAGAACGCTGATTTTGGAAAAACTATTTTGGGTTCTTTTGCAGCAGCTATCTCTGGTATTTCAAAACCACTGTTTGGGTTTTTCATCATGACAATAGGAATTGCATATTACAAGCCAGACGCAACAAGGAGAGTAGGCTGGTATTCACTTATGTTCACTGGAGTTGGATTTCTTACATTAGTCACCCATGCAGTGCAACATTATTTCTATGGTATAGTTGGGGAAAAGGCCATGAGAAACCTCAGGGAGGCTCTTTTTTCAGGTATACTATCTCGTCTTTTCTTTTCTTCCTCTAATTTTGTATTCTCTACAGTCATCATAATTCTACTGCAAATTTACAGACACGTTTCAACCTCCATGTGTTTTTTCTGTCGCCAGGACCTCTTTTGTAGTTAAATATATCAAAATGTTATGTTCAGAATTTCACATGTATAAGATTTCAGTCCGTAATAAGGCCGTTAATAACCCAAATATCATCTGTAGCCTAACTGCCATACATGAACGCAACAGGAAAAGCGAAAAATAGAGTTCCATGCAAGGTTCTAATGTTCCATCACACAACTGATTTACGACTTCTTCTTAATACATATAGTAAGTACTTAAAGTTTCTTCTCTGGAAGGTTTTCAACAGGATTCCAAGCATTTCTCAAAAGAGAACTTTCCTTAAATATTTTGTATATCACATTCTCAAATGTAACACGACATCATGGGCATAAGAAAAGATTAGTCATTTATTCAGCAAAACAAGCTAATGTTTTGATTCTTCTAGGTATACTTCGAAATGAGATAGCTTGGTTTGAAAAACCTGAGAATAGTGTGGGATTCCTTACTTCACATATTGTCACCGATACCTCCATGATCAAGACCATTATATCTGATAAGATGTCAGTTATAGTCCAATGCATCTCCTCCATTCTAATAGCAACCACTGTCAGTATGATTGTTGACTGGAGAATGGGCCTTGTTGCTTGGGCAGTTATGCCTTGTCATTTTATTGGTGGTCTAATACATGCAAAATCAGCCAAAGGGTTCTCAGGTGACTCTGCGGTAGCTCACCGAGAAATTGTTTCCCTTACATCAGAGTCAGCAAGCAATATTAGGACCGTGGCATCCTTTGTCCACGAAGAACATATACTAAAGAAAGCCAAGCTTGCTCTACGAAATCCTATGAAGGCTAAAAGGATAGAGAGTATCAAGTATGGGATTGTACAAGGGGTGTCACTATGCTTATGGAATATTGCACATGCCATCGCCCTATGGTACACCACAGTTTTGGTTGATAAGAAGCAATCGACATTTGAGAATGGAATTAGATCTTACCAGATTTTCTCACTTACTGTTCCTTCAATCACTGAGCTATGGACTTTGATCCCCATGGTTGTCTCTGCTATCAGCATACTGACACCAGCTTATCAGATCCTTGACCGCGAAACTGAAATTGTGCCAGATAAGCCGGATGCTACAGATTCTGAAAGGATCGAAGGAAAAATTGAATTCAAAGATATCTGTTTCAACTATCCGTCAAGGCCAGAAGTAGTTATACTAAATAAATTCAGTTTAACAATAGATTCTGGTCTGAGGGTGGCCCTTGTTGGGCCTAGTGGAGCAGGGAAGTCCTCTGTTTTGGCACTACTTTTAAGGTTCTATGATCCTTGTGCAGGACAAATTTTCATAGACATGAAGGACATAAAGGATTACAATCTGAGATGGTTAAGAAAACAAATAGGGTTTGTGCAGCAAGAGCCCCTCCTTTTTAGTTCCTCAATTAGAGACAATATCTGCTATGGCAATGAAAGCGCTTCAGAAGCTGAAGTAGTTGAGGCCTCCATAGAAGCAAACATTCACGAGTTTGTAAGTAATTTGCCAAAGGGGTATGACACCATGGTGGGAGAAAAGGGTTGCCAACTTTCTGGTGGGCAAAAGCAGAGAATAGCCATTGCGAGGGTACTACTAAAGAAGCCAGCAATTCTGCTGCTAGATGAAGCTACCAGTGCACTTGATGGAGAATCTGAAAAAGCTGTCATGAGAGCTTTAGGATCAGGTAAAGGAAGAAAGTTTGGTGGGCCACTGTTCAAAGCCACTCAAATAACTGTTGCACATAGGCTTAGCACAGTAATTAATTCAGATATAATAGTGGTGATGGATAAGGGCCAGGTGGTTGAAAAGGGTAACCATCCAGCTTTGATATCAACAATTGATGGTGTTTATTCAAGATTATTCCATCTGCAAAGCCAGATGGAAGGTTAATCGACCTCTTGTATTGCTATACTGTAGTATAAGAATTGCAGAGTTCCAGGATATAAAATGAAGGTATATTGTTGCTATTTTTTATAGAAGCATAATAGAGGAAAGGATATTAGGTTATCCGATTTGGCATATGAAAAGAAGCTAAAATTTCGTCATAATTTATACTGTGTATAATTAACTAGTATTAGTTATTCAGATAAATCAACAGAGTTAGCCTCCTGTAACTATAAAAATTGAAATAAATATTATCAGTAGTTCTAAGCTGTTTCAGCATGGTTCTTGTTGGATAATTTTTACTTCCCATAAACCAGGCATAGATTACAAACCACTAGGGGAACTCATCATCTATTCTTCCCATAAAAGAAGCAGGGTTGATTATTTTGAAAGCCTAACAGGTCTTACATTTCAATGAGACTAGTGAAGAATCCTGTCAATTCTGCCACTAGATGAATTTGCCAATGCATTTAATGATAGTACGGAAGATTTGGTATCAGTATTTTAATGTTAATAAGGTGAACGAAGACATGCAGACCATTCTTCAATTCCAAACCACCCATATAATTTTGGTGTATATGCTTATTACAACAATAGATAAAACTATGGTAACAGATTAAATAAGAACTAGTGTTTACAAAGACTATTCTATCTGAAATCACATACTGTTGTATGGTAATGTTGGCAGTGGAGAGACTGAAAATTGTATGTATGTATGCATGCATGCATGCATGTCATGCATGTCATGCATGTATGTACTTGTGTACGTACATACATACATACTTTTATATATATTAACAATTTATGGTTGCTAAGACAAGCTACATGTCCAACTCACTTGCTCAGGTAATAACATAGGAACTGAAATGAACGCCGAAAACAATACGAAAGGTTAAAGCATATAAAACTACCTCACTCACCTTCATGCTATTTAGACCAATCTTTTATAATCTTACACAAATGCTATCAATAGTCTTGAGCTGTTCCAACTCTTCTCCATTCGCAGTCCCAGGATCAACATAACATAACTAAAATGTAAACCATATAATTTATATCAGGTTGCCTCAAAAATAACCAAGGAGAGATGAAGAATATCAAGAGAGTAACAAGACCTGATATTGTGGCTTTCTCAGTGTGTGAACCCCTCGTTTTATTAGTTGTTGCCACCCCCTGTTAGTAGTAAGACATCTTTCCAAATCTGCAGTTCTCTGCAGCATTAACACAATTTTGTTAGACAAAATATTAATACAGAGACTTCTGAAACCTTAGCCCAATAGTCAATATGATGGTTTAATCTACACAAAATTTAAGTTGACAGATTCTGTGATCCCACCTGGGCAGGGTCCAAAATCAAAAGAGAGCATCGGTCTTGAGATCCATTTTTTCCCTGCTGCTTTTGGATTCCAACAATAGTTCTTGAATGGCCATAATGCTGGAAGTACAAAGGCCTATTTGGAAGTCAATGTAGTATTTCACTATTACAACAAGCTTAAGCAACTTAAAAAACAAAGAAGAAATATAACAAATGTCTGGATACATTAACATGAGAGAAAATCATATTCTCAGATCAGTTACGAGGCATCAGTCTAGTAACCGCCCACCCCTCGATAGACAAAAGTGAAGAGAAAGAAAAAGGACGGACTCACGTTTTCTCACTTGTCAAAACATGTTGTTTGTTGTCCGTGCTTCCATGATTAGTAAAATAATTCCAAACCCAATCGATGAGGATCTGATGACCCATGGACTTTCCTTTATAATCATTTGAACTATCGCAATCAACCACAGTGCTGTTGCATTTTAGGTGATTAGACAAATCATAATGTTCATCATGAGATCCAATAGATGAAGACGTAACACAAAAATCATCATCTTTCCTTTGATGTATAAACTTGTCCATTGGCCCATAAACATGCTTGCTTATCCTTTTACCTCCTGAATATGATATACTATCAAAGTCTACAATTCTTGCTCGAAGCCCAAAAGAACGGAGAAGTGTGGCACACTCTGTGGTCCCAATCCATTTTCGTGAGCCATAAATTTTTTGATTAAATGAATTTGAGCCAGTTTTATCAAACCCTCTCTCCCAAGCAATCTCAAGCCATCTCTGGAGCGAAGGAATGTCAGGAACAAATCCTGAACCACCAAACATAACATCCCTTGCTTGTTTTCTTACCATCAACAAGTGAGAACACATCATTTGGATGTTACGCCATCCACAGCCCCATCCAGAATCTTCTGATGCAACACTCTGATAGTGATCGATATAGCCGGATATTACACTTTTAGAAGCTTTGCTTTCTGATTCCAAGCACCTTTTCAGCAAGGTCATAAGACCACCTTCAACTTTGTATAATGTGCTTTTAATTTGTAAACCAACCAAACCATATATCTTTTCTTGATCAAAATTTTCCAAGTAATGAGCTTCACTGTGATTGGAGCAAGGGGTGCTAGTTTGACCAGTCCAATCAGAGAAAATATAAGAAGGCTCCGCATTATCCAATTGACTATCCTGAAATTACATATAGATATATTTTTGAAACATGTGAGTTATAAAAAAAATAAAAGTAAAAAGTGATCATGATAGTCCATTAATTGATTTCAGCCCAGACAAGAGTATTTCATTTTCAATTACCAATCACATTGCCTGCAACTAAATACATATTCAAAACGATAATGGATCTTGTAACCAAAGTACCTAATAAGATGTGAGTCCTTTTCTTTCCATAGGCCTGCATTTTCTTTAGGCGTGCACTTTTTATGCAACATTGCAGTTGAACTAGAAATAACAGGATATCATCCTTGCATTTTCTTTAGGCGTACACTTTTTATGCAACATTGCAGTTGAACTAAAAATTAACAGGATATCTTGGATGTAGGGAAGGGCAAAAGACTATGTTAGTAGTAGTTTTAAATCCCGTGTTCCATGAGTAACTAGTCGGCTCTTTGGAGAAAGGAAGGAGGCACAGTTGATGCAAATTGTGTAATGTTTAGATTACTAAAACACATCTTTTAAAAATGGGAAAATTACAGAAAAAACTAGTAGGAATAAGAAAATTCCCTGAAATTTTAAAACTACACTCTCACCCTCTCCTTTTTTTTCTTTTCCATCAACAAGGGCCACATGAGTATCATGGACCAATATCTTGGTGGAGGCCATTGCGATCTGCTTTCCTACTCTCGTGTCCGTTTCAAATTTTTATATTCTCTTGCATTCTCAAATGATAAAGAATCTTAATAATGATTCAAAGGACATAGCGAGGATGGTCAATATGCTAGCAGATGAAACTAAACAATATAGGAGCTCTAAAAAATTGTACCACGAGTGAAGAGCTCGGGGAAGCTAGTGAGATTTGTTTTGCCAATTCTATATCCCTTGCAAGTTCTTCTTCCACTAAATGATTGTTCGCGTGCCTGCATAGTGCATACGATCAATAGAGGAAAAAATGTTTTTACTTCTAAGAAAGAAAAAACTGACATTTGACAGAAATAAATCCAGAGGTTATACCATTCGAGCTCAGTAACCGGGAGCTCTATATGACAGAAAGGGCAAGATGCAAGCATTCTTTACTATCAAATTCCTGCGCCGAAGAAATTAACAAGGAAACATGTAAATACTTAAAAAAACAATACGTTTATGTAGAAATGAAACTAGCATAGGTTCTTAATTATTTCCTCATCAGTCCTTTACCCTATGGATTTCTATTCTCTCTCTATCTTTCATTCAAACACATTGTGGGCACAATCCTATTTACTATTTATGGAAGTAAATGCAAGCTCATTTCTATATCTGTAAACTCTAAGCGATCCCTTGCTGAAACCACAGGATGATATCCTCGTCATTTTACATCAAATTAAATTTAAGAAATTATGTTTCGACTCCTCCGTTGGGTTTCGAAAGCAGAAAATCAAGTTAAAGTACCGAAGAACACCACCCAAAAAAAAGTCAAAATTTGAGCTTAAATAGGAAAGAAAAAGAACGTACCCGAACTTCGATGAGCGTTCTGGATCCTCACCTTCTCTTGTCTTCACCTTTTCCTTTTGGAGCGTAATTTCTATGCAAAGAATCGATCTTTGTTACAATCATCTCTCGTCTTCATCCTTTTCCTTTTCTCCT